AAGACTCATCAACATGTCTGCCTAAACATGAGATGAAAAAGAACAGCGGACATGCCAAAGTAAATGGAGAAAGACCACTAGGCTTCAGCCCTACACAAAAAACTAGACGCATGCCAGGAATGCTGAGTGTGAGAGATATAGTCTTCCCTAGGGAAGAGCGCATCAATTGGTTATTCAATATATGTGTAACATTATACAGACTGAACAGATTATATTTAGGAATATATGTTCATATACATGTATGTATATTCATGTAGTAACAATAAAAAAAGAGGCCTTACACTTGAAAGAGATCTAAGGGGGTACATAGGAGGCCTTGAAGGGAAGAAAGGAAAGGGAGAAATGAATAATTTTAATCTCAAAATATAAAATAAAAAGGAAAATGAAGTTCATGGGAGAACGTTTAGGTTCCTTGGAGTTGCCATTGCAAAGAACTAATAATGGGCAGCTCATACAACTGAAAGTGATTGTTTCCACTCTGGATGATACAAGTCTAGAATCAAGGCACAGACTGAACCATGCTTGCTCTGATGGGGCTACTGAAGAATGCTCCACCCCCATTTTAGTGGCTGCCACCTTTCCTTATGTCACCTGGCTTGTAGCTGCATCACTTCTAACTCCACTTCTGTTCTCACCTGGCCCTCTTCTCTGTATGTGCATCTATATATTCCTTCCCCCTTTGATAAGGACACTAGTCCCTGCGTGAGGACCATCTTAACTATGCCTGAAAGGGCCCTGTTTCCAAATAAAGTCATCCTCTGGGATTTTACTTCAGAAATCAAGTTGTGGAGAACTTGATTCAACCCACTCCACTGGCTGTGCAGGGGAGGAGAAAGGCAGAGAAGCACTTATTAGATTGAGTAAACAGAAGACCAAAGTCCCAGGACATAGGCATTCGGGGAAGTTATTCCAGTATTCAGATGGGCACTTAAAAGCCACCATTTAAACAAGAATGATTTGATATAATACCCTCGGGCTTCCAAAGCATCATTTCACTACCATTTACATGAAAGTGCTAAGCTTACCTGCCAGGTATTAAAAACACATTCAGAGTGCCTAGTTTGGTCCCATGCAGGTTCCCCAGGTGTCAGTCCAGAGTCCGTGAGTTAATGCTAGCTCCAGTCAGGTGTCTCGGAGGTTTTCCCCATCATGATCTTGACCCCCCTTGTTCATATGATCCCTCCTTCCTCTCTTCAACTGAACTTCAGGAGCTCAGCCTAGTGCTTGGCTGTGGATCACTGCATCTGCTTCCATCAGTTACTGGATGCTGATTCTATGATGGGAATTGCAGTGGTCACTAATCTGATTATAGGGCAGGGCCCATTCAGACACTCTCTCCACTACTGCTAGGAGTCTTAGCTGGAGTCATCCTTGTAGATTCCTAGGAGTTTCCCTAGTACCAGGTTTCTCCCTAGCCCTATACTGACTCCCTCTATCAAAATATCTCTTTCATTGCTTACCCCCTCCTTCCCTCCTCCAACTTGGCCATCTCCATTCTCGTAAATGTAGGTGACAGTTATGTGGCTTGATCTGTTGCGGGGGTGGTTGCTGGCAGTGGGATCAGGACTTATCCTGAGTACATGAACTGACTTTTTAGAGCCTATTACCTATGGACAGATACCTTGCCCAGTTTGATTCAGGGGGGAGGGGCTTGGTCCTGCCTCAACTTAGTATCCCAGACTTTGGTGAGTCCCAAAAGGAGGCCTTATCCCCTATGAGAAGATGGGGGCAGGTGGGGAGGGGGGGAACTTGGGTTGGAATGTAAAAATAATAATAATCATAATAATAAAGGAAACAAAAAAAAACAATACAATAAGCCAGTGGTGAAGGTTCAATCCATTCCTACTTACACAGGACATCCAATGAGCATCAGGACAAACCTTGTTTTCTCTTTGAAGAAATACGTATGAAATGTTCTATGTTGTGGTTTTTAGTAGGTACATTTACTTATCTTTGCCAGAATTAACAGAAATACAGCAATGGTCACATAATCCTTAAAACAGAAGACCACTTTATTAGCAAGAGGATCATTTTTTTGGGGGTTGGGGGGTGGTGGTGGTGGTGGGGGTGACAGGGTTTCACTATGTAGCTCTGGCTGTCCTGGAACTTACTCTGTAGACCATGTTGGCCTCAAACTCACAGATCCACCTGTCTCTGTTGTCGTCGTCCCCCCACCCCTCAGTGATGGGATTTAAGATGTGTGTCACTATGCCTGGAATCTAGAAGATTCTAAAACCACACTTTGACAATAACCTGGACTAGCTCACAAGACAGATGCTAAATAATGACTACTTAGTAAGCAGTATTTTTGTGGTAGAAAATGATAACATTTTTCTAAGAGACATTGAGTTTCAAAAGAGATTCATAACAGCATTGGTGGCTTCCAGTTGTATTTCAAAAAAAAAAAAACCAGTCTAGTTGGTTTATGTACTTTATAAAATATCAGGGCTTGTTAAAAAATGAGCATTTAGAAAATGAATTTTATAAGATGGTTGATAAAATAGTCAATAGTACTTTAAATAATGCAAATACAAATCCTACTTCCTCAAATGTGTGATGGGCCTCAGCACTCTGGCATGTGGTAGCTTTGTCCTCAGCCCCCCTTCTTTTTGGCCTGTCAGCTGTGAGAAACAGTTTTCTACCAATTACTGTCACAATATGAATAAATTCAAAACTGAAAATATAAGCACTGAATATTTTAAGTACATTTATCCTAAACTACATTAAAATAAAGATTTAGGATTTAAGCAAGGAGTTTAGTTAGTGATAAAGAAGAAGCACTGCATTTTATTTCATCTTCTACAGATAAAAACGCAATATAAGAAGTAAAACATGCAGAGAAATGGGCAGGTGACAACAATCATATGAAAAAAAAAAGAACATAAATGAACATGACCCCAAACAATAGCGGAGAGCCATGGCTTCTCTCCCTTTTAGTTTTGGAATGATTAATTATGTAAATTATGATTTAATGACAGGTAATCTAAGAAAAATGACTTAGCATCTCCTTTGTCTAGTTGCTGTCATAGCATATGGCTCCACACCAACGTCACATATGCACACAGCTGACTTCCCACGTCACTTTGGTTCAAGAAGAGTTAGGGGCATACTACAGAAATTAGCAAAGTTTTCTAGCAATCACTTTGATCCTCCAAACAAAGAGAACACAGCTGCACCTTATCTAAACTTCCTTTGGGCGAGGGGCAGACAACAAAAGGTCTGTGTTTACAGGCCCACCAGAGACAGAGCTCAAGTTGCCTAAACACACAAAATCCCAATGGTCTGGGTTAACCTTTTTTGGTCAGAACACTGCCATTTTCTGTTGATAGTGTATGCAGGGTCTCCCACATGCTGGGAAAGTGAACCAGACTCCCAACCCTTTTAATTTTAATTTCTCTATGTTGACCTTAAACCTGTAATTCCTGTCTCAGCATGGATTACAGGTTTGTACTGTCACTCCTGGCTTTTTAACACCCTCTCTCCCCCCATCAAGGGGAGGGGGAGCTCAAATCCAGGGATTCAACTTTCTGGAAAGCTAGAACAGGATGAACGTGTGAAAACACACATGGAAATAAAGTTCATGGGAAAAGTTTCAGGCATAACTGTTCTGGCTTTCAGGGTTGAAGAATGACACTGGACACTGCTTATAGTCTCTGAATTAGTCAGTTTTGAAAAGGGTGATGACACACAAGCATGTAGAAGCCATGTTCTCTCAAACTTATTTTCAGGATAGGCACATAACTACTCTCCCTGTGCCTATTCAGTCATCTCAAATGTCTTTCACATTATTTTATTCCTGTTGATACTGTCACTCCTGGCTTTTTAACACCCCCACTCCCCCCATCAAGGGAGAGATGGTTGATGTATATCATAAGTTGTAACTTAACAAACTTTTGTAAAGCTGGAAAATTTGTCCTGAAAATCATAAAATCGTAACAACTTTTCTTCTTCTTCTTCTTCTTCTTCTTCTTCTTCTTCTTCTTCTTCTTCTTCTTCTTCTTCTTCTTCTTCTTCTCTTCCTCCTCCTCC